AGATAACATTTCACATATAAATATGCCAAAATTTACATAAAATCTAATTGGACATAATGATGATGAGTGTAAAAATAAAAGTTCTGGAGATTTAGATAGGTAAATTATGGAGCTATATTCTAAGAATCTAAAAGAAACATTAGAGATATGGAAATTATTCTTATCATCTTGTGCAACAGCTTTAGTAAGAATATGCGCGTATAGTTCCTTTGCGAACTAAGTCCACATTGCTGTAGAAATAATCTGCCATTTTAACTTCTTGCAATTTTTATTTTCGTAAAAAAATATTACTAAAATATGCCAAAAAACACCTAATTACAAGGGCAGCTCTTCGGCGATATACGGTACATTACAGTAACCTGTCCACTTTAGGATCGTTAACCAAATGGGATGCGGTGAAGCGTTTGAAGGTGTAGCCGTTGGTGCAGATATGTATCATGTTCAAAAAGTGCGAGCATTTATTGGACCGTACTGTAATGCTGGTAGGTTTTAAATTCATCTAAGGACATTTGTTAATAAGCTACAGTAACCAAATTTTACACAGAGCTTGATGCTGTCGCAAAAATGGCAACATTTTGGAATGTACCGATTGTTGGCTACATGGCTTCATCTAATGCATTCGCGGACAAATCGATCTACAAAACTTTGGCGCGTGTCTCTCTTCGAACCACTAATTCACTAGCTGAAGCGGTTGCAGCTCTTCTAACACATTATGGTTGGACTAAGGTTTGTATTACTTAACAATTTAAATTAAAGTTCTAAGAGTTTAGAGCAAATCGATTTTTCAGGTGGGCCTAGTGACCAACACTGGAACCCTTGCCTTTGAAAGAGTACAAGCCTTTGAAGAAGTCTTCCATATGCGAAAGATCACAGTTCTGAAGAAGGTGAGGCTAATTTGACTGGTGTCACAAATGTAGCAAAACATGTCCCAAGATGGGAAATAAGCTTGGGAAAAAATTCCTTATTGCACATTAAGGTCAGATGCTCTTCTTCTGGATCTTCAACTATATATTTTAAGAATTAAAAAAAGATATTTTGGAAAATTACCAGCATCTTTGATCACGCATATAGGTGATAGCAGAAATTTGCAAGCGAATGCTGACGCTTCAAAAAAATCGGAAAAATTTGGAGCTTCAAAGCTACAAACAGTCCAAATCCCTCCTCTCGGGACCTATAGCTACTGTTATACGCAACATTTCGTTTTCGAAAAAA